TGGCAAGGACAGGCACAGGGTCAGGGATGAGCTCAACAGCATCCCCTGGGCAGCAGTGAGGCCTGGGAGAAGTAAAGCTCTGTGCTGACTGTAGGAAGCTTTGCCACAGTGTGGGATGGCTGTGAGGTGTCTCTCCCTGGCGAGGGTTGGATCAGGCTAGAGGGATACATGCTCTGGTGACTGCTGACAGGGACCTGCATTCCCATTGCTAGTCTCCCCAGGGGACTTCCTGCTCCTTCTCTGTGCCCTTGAGAAGTAGTGTGATCTCCGGGTAGACTGCCAGTGAGCCTCTCTCTCACTTGCTCTTTTCCTTCCCCTGAACCTCTTCGATGCTGCTGCCTCCTCCTCCTCCTCCTCCTCCAGCTGGGTGCTTCTGAGTGGCCCTAGCTCAGCCCTTCCTCTGAACCTGCCCAGCTGAGAGGCCCTGGCTCTCTAGGTGCTTTGCCAGTGGCTGGGTTGGTAAACTCAATTCCTGGAGGAAGTTCAAAGCTGCAGCATTTATGCCTATCTGCCACCCTATGGATGCTAACTCATCTTTGCTGTGCAAAAGCAGACAGAAGCTGTGCTGTCCCCTGTCCCCTCCCTTACAGGCTTCTTCAGTGACTCAGCATAAGGGACAGGAACATGAGTGGCTTTCCTAAAACCTCAACTTCCACCAAGTGAACTTCACTCACCATTGTCCTCTCCAATTTGCCACACCTGTAAGTAACACCCTGGAAGGCCAGTGGTCACAAGCAACCTGTTCCAGAGGGACAGAAAATCAGTCCAGACAGAGGGAAGCTCACCCTCACCCTGGCAGCCTTTCCTCTCCAGCCCACTCAGGATCCCTGGGACCAGCTACCCTCATTCAACATAGGAGCAGGCTCACCCTGCTTTAGGGACAGGATCACAATTCAGAGAGAGCCACAGACCGAGCCCAGGCTTCCACAGGTCATGATGGCCACCTAGAAAGGACACAGGTGGGGAGCCTGAACACATAACCCTGACTGAGACAGCTCTCCGAGAAGCTCCAGAGAATTTTCCACTCTGTATTTGGTCCCTGGAGCAACTCCAGAGACTTGGTGGCTCCACTACTCAAAATGGCTGCTAAGCTAATGGTTTCTTCATACACTAAATCTATGTGTGCCCCAGCCCCTTGTGCACCCCACCTACGTCTGGAGACTGAGAAGTGGGCATGGTGGTAAGAAGACATAACACTTCGAGCACTTCCTGTCATCCCAACAGAACAGAAGGTATGGGACACAGACTAGCCATACCTGGTATCTGGCACGTGTTTTAGGTCAAAGACAGACCTGTCTGAAAATCCTCCATGGCGCACTTTGAAATCTCTCTCTGGAAATAAACCCTAAAACACAAAAGGGTGGGGGCAATCAGACAGCACTGAATTTTTCTTTTCTTCTTCTTCTTCTTTTTTTTTTTTTTTTTTTTAACAAGATAGGGTTTCTCTGAATAGCCTTGGCTATCCTGGAAATCACTCTGTAGACCAAACTGTCCTCAAACACAGAGATCCGCCTGCCTCTGCCGCACTGGGATTAAAGGTGTGCGCCACCACCGCTGAGCTCAGCACCTGCTTTTCTTTTTTTTTTTCCTTAAAATTTATTTTTATTTTGAGGTTTATTTATGTACATTGGGGTTTTGCCTGTATGTGTATCTGTGTGAGGGTGCAGATCCCCCTGGAACTGGAGTTACAGACAGTTTTGAACTGCCATGTGGGTACTGAGAATTGAACCTGGGTCCTTTAGAAGGGCCACCAGTGGTTAACCACTGAGCCATCTCTCCAGCCCTGAGCACCTGCTTTTCAAACACCTCAGATGAGTGCCAGGGAAGGAGGCCATGAGAGTTACTCAGCCGGACCTTGGCCGGCAGATGTCTGTAAATGTCTATATGTCCAGTTTCTTTATCTTCCTGCCCATCTCCAAGCCTTCTAGCCTGTCTCATCCTTCTCAGAAGGGGCAAAAACATGCTGAGCCTTCCTGGGAATAACAGAAGAAAACAGCTTCAGCCAAGAAAGCAAGGATTGCCACTGCCAACCACTCACCCTCCCACTAGGAGCCAGGTGGGTTCCTCTAGCAACAGAGACAAGACAACCACTTAACAAGTATTCACTCTATCAGGCACATTTAATTCTTTTTCTTCTCTTCTTCTTCAACTTTTTTCTTTTCCTCCTCCTCCTCTTCTTTCTTCTTTTTTGAGATAAGTTCTCACTGTGTAGCCCTGGCTGGCTAGTGGTAGTAGCAGCCAATAACTATATTTGCATAGTTAACCACTCACAGATTCTCCTCTAACTTCAAAGACTATTCTTTCTTTGCATCATTTAAATTTATTCCCTAAGACAGGCGTTGGTGGCGCACGCCTTTAATCCCAGCACTCAGGAGGCAGAGGCAGGCGGATCTCTGTGAGTTCCAGGCCAGCCTGGTCTACAGAGGGAGTGTCAGGATAGGCTCCAAAGATACACAGAGAAACCCTGTCTCGAAAAATCAAAATAAATAAATAAATAAATAAATAAATACATCCCCTAA